AAAATGAGTTCGAAAAGAGTGAATTTCAAAAATATTTGCCTAAACGTGGAAATAATCTCAAATAAAGTAATATAATTAGCAATTACTCCATCTTCCTAAGATTAAATGAATGATTTTGGAGTGAATTAACTCCAATTTAACCTTCAAAACCTAAATTAATGCCCTAAGGAAGAGCAGAAAGGACACCACAATAATCACTTGAGAGTTCGGTACATGGTGGAGGTAGGGATAGCCGATATGTCTAACATTTTAAATATTTAAACGAGAATTTACAATGCAGTATCGGAACCCCAAAAAAAATCATCTTTAGTTCGAATTTAGTATCATTCATTTACAAAATTTGTGTGTCATGACTTAAATAAATTCGTGTAATTCATTTATAACCATTAAGTGTGTGTGTGTGAGAGTGATTTTTGAAAACTACTTTGTTTCACGTTTATTTTTAGCCACACATTTTAATAAGTAAATAAATTATTTTTCATGCTTTTCTATAATTTTTCCTATTATTTGACAACACAATCTTAAAAAAAAAAATACCTTTTAAAATATCTTTCTCACAAGAGCATTTAAGTATTTGAGATGGTAAGTTGGTAATAAAGTCTAATAAAAGAGATAGATTCAAGTCTCACCTGAAAAATTTGTACACGTGTGACGTGTCGAACATGATAAAATAAAAAAAAAGAATCTGATCTTCACACAAAGGTGTGTATCGAAGATAAAATTAAACCCGTCATTATTCTGAGAAACTAAATTTTTGAATAATGATTTTTTGAAAAATGTGTGGTTAAAAAATGAAAAAAAGATTTGGATTTACGTATAACATATTTTATTGTGTAAATATGTCATTGAAAATGATTATGAAAATTAAAGAATTTTGAAATAATGATTGTCAAACTAAACGATTATATGATGAATAAGACTTTTGCTAAGCTTTAATAGTAGGGAAAAAAAGTTTTACTACGACATATTTGGTGACAAGTTATTTAGTTCTTCTTTGGTCATAATTTTTTAAAATTCACTTTCAATCACACATTTTATGAAATCCACAATTTTTACAAAAGCACATCACCATTTATTAAAATTCGATAAAAAATTGATTTTGTACGAATCAAACATGAATTTAATAACTTTTAATTTTTTAGATAAATTGATTCGATCAAGATAAGTTTGGACCACCGTGTATGGTGGTCTCCGCCACGATAAGTATTCTTTATGCACCAACACACAAGCGCACATCACGAAATAGGTAAAAAGTTGACATCAAATATCAATTTTTTTGTTGTGGTCAGAACATCCAATTTAATGCTGTTAGATTTTCCTATTTTATGTCCATTTCAGGAATACAAAAATATCTTTCCTACCAACCCCGACACGTTTGATAACATAGATTAAAAACGATAAATTATTCATTCTGTTATAGGAAAAAATAAATAAAAATTTGTTCAATACTCCAGTTTGATTCAATGTATTAGCAGATTCTAATAGATTTTGGAATAATGACTACTAAAAATACTCGAGTCAGTGGTGTTCAGGGGGAAAATTTTGAGAAGTACTCAGAGAAACGTTAGAGAAAAGGATAAATCTCCTTTACGAGGGCCACATACAGGCGCCCTACCTATAGGGGCGCCAAAGTATGGTTCTAGAGAAAAAGATGGTGTATATATAAGAATATATAAATTACACGATTCATTTTTCAAGTTACCCAAAATACAAGAAGATATGTAAAGAGTGTTGATAAGTGCCTTGTAAGTTATTTTTCCACTCAATTAAGTTATTTGATATGTAAACAAACTGGATTAGATTTTAGTGTAACTTGCTAGGAGAAATGGATTAATAAGCATTACTTAGGATTTTCGTAACTGCAAATTTAGGGACCTTTCTGTAAATATAAGTTTCATGTTCAATGTTAAAGATCACCTTAAGTAAGATTTTCTTGATATGCATTAATTAGGTGGTAAATTAATTTTTTTTTAAACCACATTTACATAAATTTATTAGTAATTCTTTGTCACATAAAATTTTTTAATGAAACATTTGGTAGCGATTTAAATTCTAAAATTTGGGTCGTTACACGATTGGCTTACCTTGGTCATTGTACTAATAGTTATGAAAGCTACAGTCCATTTATGATGGGAAAATAGAGCAGCCCAAAAACTTGGTTAGACTGGTTTTAGAGGCGCCAAATTTATGAATGCCATAGATATTAGGACAGGACAATAAGAGAAATAACTTAGGACTGCAGTTTTGTACATTTTTAAGCATGCAAACTAAGATAATTAAATTAATACACAAAAACGGCAACTTCTACAAATTCAACTGAATTTATTACTAAAGTAGTTCTTCACAACATTACACAGTGTATGCAGCATTATCTTCTCATAGGCCGCAACATTACACAGTAGTGTCTAATAGCTCGAGACGATTCTGAATCTTGTGAAAGGTGTATCTCTGTACTACTCAGAGTTATAATTCTCCATTGTTAATAAAATTGGCTTATTAGTCATTATTAATTTCACATTGATTGTTTGTAAAAGAAAAGAAAAGTTTGGTATCCTATGTCATTTATATAAAGAAACATAAATTGTGCGGCCAAAA